GCATATCCTGCCATTCCCTGTGCCCACTGCCATATCGTCCTTCATTGTTCCCAATGGGCACGAAACCAAGGATAGGGTGCGTGGTATCAGGTTTGCACACAGAATCTGTGACGAGGGCATCAAGATGATGAGAGGATATCCAGTATTCGAAAAGCAGAGACATGGAAAATTGAGGCAAGGATGGAAACGTAAAGAGGGATGAGATAAGGATTAGAAGACAAACGACAAGATTGAATAAGAAAATGCGGGCATCCCATGGAGAAGAAAAAAAAGAAATAAAAGGAAATGGACATGAACCACAGAGTCTCTCGCCTGCAGGGCTGTAAAGAAACAACAGATAACCCGCTGCACATGGCGAATGGAAAAAGAAATGATGAACAAACTCCTGCTCTGTGTCTTTGGGGATATCAATGATCTTAATGTAACAGAGAGCTGGCGAGATATCATTACCACACAAAGGAAATAAGGTATTAGTAGATGGACAGATTGAATGTCTCAAACACCAGGGTCTCGAGCAGGGGAGAATCGAGATCACCTATGGCAAGAACATCCAGGAAAAGAGACAGAACATCGACATCTGATTACAAGCCACATCTATGATGTGGTCTAAATGTTTTGAAAGAAAATCCTCACTCCGTCAAGTATAATGGCTCATTAGATCAGACCACAGAGTCTGAGGTTCTCTTGGATAATGATATCTGAAAGACGTTAGTGGTCGGTAATCAAGAGTAAACAAGGGTCCTTAGGAGACGTACCATTTACAGCCGCCATGACGAAACGAATTTGTGTAGTATCGGTGGCGCATGTGAAGTGGGTGTAGATCTGCTTCTGCTCGGCCTGGTTGAGTGATACGAAGCGGTTCAGGATGTAATCGCAGGCTGCGGCGTAGTCGGCACCGCCCTCATAATCGGGGAAATAGTTCTTCATGGGGCTGACAGGCAGCTTCTCCTTAAATCGATCGATCTTGTTCAGGAACAAGATGATAGAGGTCTTGACGAACCACCGCGAGTTGCAAATCGAGTCGAACAGGGTGAGTGCTTCCTGCATGCGGTTGACTGTCTCGTCTTCGAACAGCAGCTGATCGTACTCCGAGATAGCGACCAGGAAAAGAATTGTTGTCACATTCTCAAAGCAGTGAATCCACTTCTTACGCTCCGAACGCTGACCACCGACATCGAACATGCGGTAGGTCAAGTCGCCAATAATAAAGGTTGTCTCTGTGATACCAGTGGTCTTGACTCGAGAGCGCAGAACATCCTGGTCGGTGGGAAGGTAGTCGGGCTGAGCGATACGGTCGATCGCATCGAAGTAGCTGTCAACCCGATTAGCAAACTTCCTGAAGCACCGCTGAGGGACAGAGTAAACCCACTATTTGGCGGAATCATTCAATTGGTACTCGCGGGAACGCTTGAAGCACTCCTGAACACCAGTATCACGCCAAAGAGCACCAATGGCGTTTCCAACCTCCGGGGGCAGGCTGTCGCCCTCAATCTGAGCAGGTTGCATGAAGATGGTCTGAACATGGTATTCGTTGCGAGCGTCTTCCAGGGGAAGTTCCAGCGACTCCATGGCCTCCAAGATGACGCGCATCGACTGAACAGTGTTGCTGTAGATGATTTCCTTGAAAGATTCCCGCTCATCGCGCGAGTACCCACCCTCATGGATGAGCTTCATCTGCTTCAGGATCGTCGACTTGCCGGACTCACCAGCTCCTGTTCAAGGACATTAGTGGAAAAGGTCTTGTCGAGGTTGAGGAGCGGCTCGATGGAGACATACCGAGCAAAAGCATCTTGATCTCATTTCGCTGCATCATCTTGTCCCTTTTGAGCTGGTTCTCAATCTCCTCGTTACGGGCCTTGCCCTCCTTATCCTCGGTACTCATTCCACAACCCATCTCGGCGGTAGTTGATTATTCAATTGATTGGAGGTGTCTTAACGAAAGTCTAGTGTAAGGCAGGTATGCTCGGAAGGGGTTCTCGCGGAACTGATTATCGTGGAAGCCTATCAATGGCAGACGTCAGTAAAGAAGACAAGTACCGACACGAAACCATCAGATGAGACAGTTGACGACATCGAATGTGATACACCATGGGAGAGAATAATTGCAGATGGAAAAATGCCCATAGAAAACAGACAGGCAACAGACAATTACAAATCAGAGTGATCGTGCTGACGCAAGGAGAGGTAGGTTCATGCGGCGGCAAGGCCCTCTCGAGGCAGACCAGACAGATGGGCGGCTGTGCTAGAGGGTAAAAGGAACAGAATCACCCACTTGGTTTGAAATCCTTTCCGACGGGAGGATGATAGTTCGCACTTCTCAGATAGAAAGAAGAAGGCGAATGGCTGCTCGGAATTGATTGATGATAATATTACCGCGAAGCTGAGCGACAGTACAGAAAATGGGAGGGGAGTTTAAAGGGGTGTAAAAATTATAGGTAGGTGAACGAGTTAGGACCGGGCGGGAAAGGAGGCGAAAGGAAAGAAGTAGTTCAAGTTGAAACCGTCCGCAACGCCGGGAGAATAATGGGCTAAGCACCGGGTACGGAACCACAATCTCGATCCGATCGAATGGAGAAGAGAAAATAAAGTATGTAGAAGGAAGACAGCAGTCACAAGAAAAGAAGCTAGAGAAAACGCGGGATGAAGAAATTGATCTATCAATCAACCCTTGTCAGAGGAGTCGATAGATGAGGATGGATGATTTAGGGAGACAGAAGAAGAGGAGAGAAAGTGGGTGGTGGAAGAAAAAAGCCAAAGGCTTTTAGATTTGGGGGTGGGAAATGCAGGTAGAGGGGCCGAAGAGGCTAACGTAAGGGGAAAAACCCGAGAGACAAGAGACAAGAAACAGAAGATATCTATTGGAGTACCTACGGCGTAGAGAGGTACTACTACTGACTACAACGTCAACGATCTATCTACCTAGACTACCTTGTAGCTAGGTAGGCAGGTACTGTACGAGTACACGGTAAGATGAGTAAAACTAAGTTTCGTGAACGAGACGAAATGAAGCAGATTTGCAGAGGAAACCTCTCTATTTTTCACTTTTGGGAAAGAACAATAAGGGGGAAGTGGAGCCAAGTGACCAGAATTGTGGGAAGTTTCCTTTAGGCGCTATGGTGATTGGTTGAAAGGGTAAGGGGTCATGCTGGAGACACAATTCTGCGAACCAATGATCACACCCGTCGGAGTCAAATTGCCCTCCTTTTTGATGAGTGGACCACGGTGCGTTAGTTGACCCATTCAATCCGACAGGGCGGCAATCATACTTACAGCTGGCTGCAAGACAGAGATCTGCAGAGGTACGGAGTATACTACGAATGATTTGGTATGTTGAAAAGGCGGTGTTATTCAGAAGCAAATTGAAACCATTGTGGAATCACAATCAGAATGAAGACTGAAGAAGCTGTCATCTTTGTTTTTTCAGTTGATGCAACCGGGATGTGGGTATCATTCTTGTTTGACTAGAGTTTGAGATGAGAGCACACCATGACCGTATTCATATGCCATTGCACCTGCTGAAGCTAGATAAGTAGATATCTGCTGATGACCTTTCCACTTGTGCTCTAGACTATTATTCATATGCCGGCTGATGAGGCTACTGAGGCGATAATGTGATTGAATGCCATCATCTTACGCAGATCATGCCTGTCCCTAACTAAGGACTCTACACCACACGATTCAGCTCTGGAATATATGGTGTCCCACGGGTAATATGACGCCTGAGCTAGGACTTGGCTTGCCCTTGCCGTTTCCACCTACAAGCCAGAGTGATCATAACAATTAGGCAACCTCTATCCAGGTTATAGAGAGGTAGATAGTTACTACAAAATATAAATAGTCAGATGAATGATAGTCTGTACTGGGAGACTGTGCAGTTTCAACGTGTCGCCACGCGGTGGAGGTCGCCTATGATCGGAGCCACAGACTTAGCATCGGTCCAGGAACGAGAAACAACTCTGCACGCAGGGTGACTAGTAATGGCGGCTGCTGCGACAGTGGCTTTTTCTCTCATCCTTCTAGAAGGATTCTGTCTCAAGCATCTTCATACAGATGAGCCTATTCTTGTTCAAGGCAATTCAGAAGATGATGATCTCTCATACCTTGGCTACCTGATACCAGCTGATACGCCCGTACTTGCTTGTTCTTCGTTTCTCCACAGAATCCTGTCGATCAATAATTTCTCCGCAGATGGAAATCACCATTCGGCATTTTGAAGGAGTCTACCTCTCTAGCGAGACGGGGGACTTTCCCTCGTCTCTTGTAGCAACGGCAGTTGACTAGATTTTAGTAGTAGCTGTCGCGTCTGTAGCCATATTACTTCATCATGGGTACCTAGATTGTCTGTACAACTACCAATAACCCTGTACTAACTTTGCGACCGAACAACGGAAAATACCCGGCTAATTAGACCTCTCTTGGCTGTATGAACGCACACTGTGGATTTCATGTGCCTCACCCACAGTAGTCTCAGTTTCCACTGACTATTCGTGCTCTTGCCGCGCGCTTTGCTTTTGAGATGACCAACTAGACTGCGATGACTATGACAAGGATAACTAGTCAACGAGACTATTGAACGCTGTATACTCCGTACCCCATGGATGCCCCCAGTCTTTCATCATACCACATGGCATTACAATAATAAACTCTAGAGTGAAGTCAAGAGTATCATGGCTCACGACTCACAAGAGAGGTCATATTCGGCGGCGTCTTGAATCTGGGCATATGGATATCGATGCCCTGGTTCAGTGTTGTTTTACTGAACCCTGGACGGATTAATGAAGAAGATCTTGGTTGCTCCACATCTTCAACCACGAATTGAGTTCTCTTTTCCCGCTCATTCGCTGGACGCAAGAAACGCCGATTCAGCCCTCGATCCTGATCTTTCTTCAGATTGTATCTAGCTGTGATATTCTTTGTTGATTTCGCATTTTAATCACATTCACAAAATCATGCTATGACCTAAACTTTCCTCTGTATATAATACCACATCCTCTCTCATAATGTCTCACGAAATGTCCTACATGGGCCATCGGGGTAAGTCGCCTTTACCGCAACCCACGAAGTTCGACCACTGCTTTGCGAAACAAACCAGACCCAAACCCGCGAATACACCATAAATGCTAACAAACAATGCGCAAACCCAGCCTTCAGTCACGACCAAAGCGCCGACGCAGAAGCCGAATACGACCGCCTCCGCGACCTAGCCCGTCAAGAAGCCGCAAAGCGTAACTCATGTTTCCAACGGGTGCGCCTCACCCTCTCCCCGCATGAAGCTCACAATCCCGGCACAGTGATTGACACGCATATCATGCATCGCAGAGCCAAGAAGCGTACTCAAACGGCGACGGCGCGCTAGCCAAAGAACTCTCCGAACAGGGCAAAGCGCACGGCCGCAAAATGGACGAGTACAACAAACAAGCGTCCGAGTTCATCTTCCGCGAGAATAACGCCGACGGGCGCGTGCCGGCCGACACGATCGATCTGCATGGGCAGTTCGTCGAGGAGGCGGAGGAGATTCTCGAGCAGAGGATCAAATATGCCAAGGCGCATGGGCAGACTCATCTCCATGTGTTAGTTTCTTCATTCGGCTTGCGGGTTGATGGGTAGAGGGTTAGTTTGCTGATGGTATGACTCGCAGGATTGTGGGAAAGGGTAACCACTCCGCCAACCACGTCCAGAAGATTAAGCCGCGGGTCGAACAGGTCTGTCACGAGCTGGGGCTGCAGTATGCCACCGAGGAGAACGCGGGCCGGATCTATGTGAATCTGACCGGGGGCCCGGCGGAGATGCCGCCCTCCACTGGACACGGACATGGACATGGACAAGGCCATGGGCAAAGCTACAGTCATGGCCAGCAGGCGCATCAACAGTACCCCGGTCAACAACCGCATCACCAACAGCAGGGTGGGCAGCAGCAGGACGAGATCGAGCAGGTGGTCAATGCGATTCTTCCCCGGGTGCTCCGCAAGCTCGAGAAGGCTTGTTGTACAATTATGTGAGGGTGTTCTTGGTTATATTCATGGGTATGGCATATATAAGGTGCGATTTAGAGGCTATAGTACAGTAATGTTTCGTGGTAATTTTGGGTTGAGATACCTACGGTACCTTGGGGGTACACTAGAAGTTCAATGAAAGATATCATGATGCAAGAGATTACAATGAATGGATGCATGCTCACTCGAAAAGGCAACCTCAGTTATATAGAATTTGCTGTATTGCCAATCTGTCTTAAGACCAATCATCATCATATTATCATAAAATGACAAGATCATCAATGCAATCCGTATTCAACCAAATGCCGCGATCCTGGTTTATAATGCGGGTATACACCCTCTGGGTATAAGGTAGTTCTACTTTGGAAAAGACACAAGTCTCATTTGCCGCCATCAGCACCATCAGCGCCATTAACATCATCCCGCAAAGTCGACTCGGTGATCTTGTCGAGAATCGCCCGCACCATCGCCCCATCCTTCTGCCCCTCGGCCTGTTTGCCATTGCCCTGTGCGTCAATCTCGTCGATGAGAGATATCGCCTTGTCACGGAACTCCCGGACCACTTTCCTCGTGTAGGCAAAACTGCCGGTGTTTTCCATGTAACTAATCGCATACAGCTTGACTTCCTCGTCCTTGGTTCGCTGTTTGAGAATACTGATAAGCTGATGGTTCCGTGGGTTGGACCGGATACTGTGGATAATAGGGAACGAAAATTTGCCCTCGGTCAGATCCTCACATAGACCCTTGTTCTGGGTGTAAGTCTTGTTGGAAAGGTTGAGATAGTCATCGCAGATCTGAAAGGTCAGGCCCATGACGTTGACGAGGCTCACGCAGTCTATGCCGGTGGTGCTCTCGGCTTGCATCAGCTTAATTGCGAGCCGGAAGAGACCGCCCGTTTTGTTCCCCACCATATCTAAATAGTCCTCTTCCGTAGGACAGGTGAGGGTGTCTCGCCAGAAGAGATCCATCCCCTGACCCCGATGCAGGTTCAATAGTTCCTGAACAAAGATATCAATAGCAGTCGGGTTATTCAACTTTTGAACTTCTTGAAGAGCCAGAAAGTATACGTAATTGGCAGAGTTGATGGTTTGCGCGGTACCGAAGATGTTGTGAGCGACGGGAATGCCGCGGCGGAGGATGGAGTTATCTTCCACATCATCGACCCTGGCAGGAGACGGAAATCAGCGACTATCCTAGCGGGAGTATTTATTTCGCGACTTACAGCAACGAAGCGGTGTGAAGCATCCCCACGACTTTGGTGATGATTGAGAGGCTCTCCGGAGGGACCTGAAGCCAGACGTTGAAAGCTGTGATGAGCTGTCGCCGGATATCCTTGCCGGGATGTTGCTGCATGTAGTCATACGGGCCCATCAGGATCTTCTCGTACTCCTGCGACCATTTCCCATCACGATATTTGGTGCCATCGAAGCTGGATCGGTTCCGGGTATGTCTTTTGGAAGAGTCCATGTCGGTCTGAGGCCTCTCGCCTTGCAACTGGCTTCCATCCATCACAGATGAGCTTGTATGCAGACGGTCGGCCATACCGGCGGAGCTCTTTCGAGTTGGAATCTCTATCGGAGGTTGAAACGCAGATCCCGACGACGACATGAGGGGCAGTTTAGACAGCTCTCACTTAGAACTTGCTTTGCCCACGAGGTGTCAAAAACATGCACGTGAAATGGTCGGGAACAAAGAATTTGAGAGCCTCTGCATCCATCAACGATCCTCAAAACTCTGTTCAAATACTGAGGTGCCGGTGACAGAGCGCATGGGTATGCCAGCACATCCCATATGCATGGTGGATGAGTAACTTTGTGAATTTATCACATGCACCCCGCATCCATCAGTGGCTGTGAAGAACCTTAGGCCGCTAGGCGGCAAGGCAGCAGAAAGCCAAGTCATGTGACTAGAGCATTCGGCATGTCGGGTTATTTTGCGGTCTTGCAGTGACTCAAGAACAAGGGATGAATCAAGGCAAGGGAGAGATTAGAAAATTCCGTCATCAGTAGGAATAATGCACATACGGAAGGGACTGGCAATTAGATGAGGGAGAAAAAAAAAGTAAGTTTCTCTGCGGAAATATCTCCACCTTCAGGCATCGCTGCGCTTTTTGTTGATATGATGGTGTCATTGTTGATAACTCTCCGTTTCCCGGGGCTGGGATCTCGAACGAGTGATCATCCCAGAGCCGAGCTGAACAAGATTAATCTGAAGGAACATGGCGTAGCTGAGACTGACATCATTAGTAGCTTGAGTCTTGAAAAGCTCTTCCTCTGTCGACCAACAAAATGGTCCTCGTTCGTCACCAGGCCTGAAGGGTAAGCGCCCAGGGGTGATGGGGGCCGCACGTTTCCCGGGGCAACCGTCTGGCTGTAAGACCGTAGAGACTAGACAACTGTGGGTGGCTGGGATGTGGAGAGAGACGGTCTAGAAGAGCCACTTAGCGAGGGGAAAATGGATCAGAATGATGGAATTCATCGGCACGATCTTCCCACGATGATGCTGATTAGGATTTAGGCCCTAGTCACTAAGAGTCTTATGGTGCTGGACTACGACGGGGTAAGTTAGCCCAGATGCCCAGATGAAGTGTCAATGATGTGTTGGGCAACTTGGTCGCGCTATCTTCCATCTCTACCAACGATCAATAATCTTAATTAATGATTAAATCCACATCCCAGCGAAGGAGAGAGAGACTTTAAAAAAAAACAGTGTCTGGCCTGTGTTCTATTTTTGCCTTTTTGGCTTTTAGCGAGCATAGATAACACTACTGTCTCCAGTGTTCCTCTGCCTCGGGACTAAAGGGTTCTTCTTCTTGACTATCCTCACCTTCGGTTTATATCTCCGTTATCCTGTATCCTTTGAGCCTCCATTTCTTACTTACTCATACCATAATATATCATAACGCATCTCCATTCTATCCACTCATGGAGACGCTATTGGCGCACTCATTCGACTATCTCTCTTCTTATGAGCCAAGCAAAGTCCGCAAGGGATTGCGCCAGGTGGAAGGCCTGCTCGCACAGATTTGTTTGTCCAAGTCGAAACAGCCGGTGTCTGAAAAACGGAGGTCGCTGCTGTCATTTGGAGCTCCACAGCCAGAGCCTAAGGCTCTATCTGACTTGAAAGATGATCCGGCCTTTCGAGAATTCTTCAAATTGCAAGAAGGCTTTCAATGGAATGGTATGTTCCCATGATGGTTACGGTCGCTGTCGCGCTTGTCTAGAGACTAACAATTCGGCAGTTGCAATGCGCTTGGTGACCTGCCTGGAGCATCTGCTGGGTCGCGGAAGGACTGGCACTAATGACTTGCTCATTCTCTCTACCCTTGACCTGATCCAAGGTGTCCTACTCCTCCACCCGCCATCACGAACTCTTTTCGCTCGCGAAATCTACATGAACCTTCTTCTTGACCTCCTTGACCCCATAAATTGTCCTGCGATTCAGTCCGCGACCCTTCTCACTCTTGTCACAGCCTTGTTGGACCACCCAGCCAACACGCGAACGTTTGAAGAACTGGACGGACTGCTCACCGTAACTTCCTTATTTAAGCAGCGCGCGACGTCGCGCGAGGTCAAACTCAAGCTTGTTGAATTCCTTTATTTCTATCTGATGCCGGAGACACCAACATATCCCATCGGAGCAAGTGCTCCGAATACGGCGGTCTGTGGTTTACAGCGCAGCCCTAGCAAACTGGGCGGTGGCCCGTATTCACGAAGTCTCAATGTGGCGGGGCCTGGGCATGGAGGAAAGGGCCATGGGGATACGCGCACGACCGAGGAGAAGCAGGCTCTGTTAGGGCGATATCTCAACAATGTGGAGGACCTAGTGGAGGATCTAAAGGAGACGGCTCCCTTTGGAGCGACGGTCTATTAGCATGTGGACCTGATATGCTGGATTGATATTGCTTTTTAATCTCTCTCTTCTGTCTATTCAGCGATGGAGCGTTCCTGGGTATGGGTGCTATCGGTTATGACTGGTTCTTTTTTCTTCTCAATTCTGGGGTTTGGATCAATGCCCGGTTGCTTCTTTCCTTTCCATTTTCTTTTCATACTTTCTTACCTCCCGTCTGGTACGGGGTCAGGCCCATTTCTTTTACCTCCAATTTGTTTCTCTCTCTCTCTCTCTCTCTCTCTCTCTTTCTTTCTCATGTTCGAGTCACGATCTTTGATGTCTCATGGTGTCATGTCAGGCAGTCTAGAAAGATAACGATCGCAACAATTGAATGCAAGTGGATTTTGAATACGAAGATTACTGTCTATGAATACTGGTTCTTGGCTAGAGCGTCATACACCACGTTGACATGTCGCCAGTCAATTAAACTTGCATATTATGCATGCAACCCCGGAAATATCTGCGTTTCCACTTTCAACGTTTATGATTCATCTGCTGGACTGGTATGAATCACACCTCACATGAACCTTTACTGATTAGACTGATCGCAGCAAGCTTTTCGTAGGCAAATAAGAGACTTTGTTCTTACATTGCGCTGGGCTGCCTGCAGCCAAGCGCTTACACTTTGAAGTACATACGTCCCCAAATGACCAAAACAACCCAGGAAAGGCTCCTTGTCCGAGCAAGTCAAAACGACGACGAGGGATTTCGCTAATATATTTTGCATTTCACAGTCGAAGTATACAGTAAGTGGGCATAGGTATGCAGCCACAATCCTCGACTATAAGAACAACGACTAAGTCTATCGACCAGGCCTACGACACAGGAACTTCCTCGAGGCACAGGACGCCATCCAACTACGCGATCTACGCCCCCTATTTCTAGACAAATCTCAAAGTCTCAACCGCAACAACTCCGATTGGTCGATCTAGGCTGTGGCACGGGCCGGTATTCCCTGCAGCTTCTGAGGCTCACGCCTCGGGATGCCGAGGTTGTGAGGCTAATGCTGCGCCGGGGATGTGGGAGGTAGCTAGTGCAGAAGGACGCATTTGCGGACACAGACGGAAGCGTGCGAAGAGTATATCTGGGTATATTTGATTTGCAGCGATCGTCGCTCGCGCCACCGGAGGCTTCGCTTGGTGCCTCGGCCTGGTTTCCGCATTGGGTGGTCGAACATATCCCGCTAAACGGGCGTTTTGATGCAGTGGTAGAGACTCTGCGGCCTGGGGGGTTGTATGCTTGTGACAAATATGCACTGCGTGGACAAGTGGTTCGTGAGGCGAAGGTAAATAAGAACATGGCCGAGGCGTTGGGCAAGCGGGCGCAAAGTGTGTTGTGATCACTGGTGGTTTGGTATGTGCTTCAGGAAGCGGATGTAAACATTAGTATCTGTCTTGATTTGTCTATTTCTTGTCTTCTTTCGCAGCTTCGTTAATGCATGCAAATATGGTTATTACATATTATACAGTAGGCTGTCGGCCTAAAAGAATCTTAGCAGTCTGTCGCGATGTTGTACAAGATTCTCATGCTGTCGCAGCAGCTCCCCCAGTCGATTCTGCTTCCAACCCATCTCTTCATCCAGAATCAGATGCGTGTACGCGAAAACACTGGCGTCGAACAACCCGGGATTCGGTCGGTTGAAGAAATGCTCGTTGTCTCCTAGTAGTGTCGAAAGCGCCTCAAATGCGTCCGCAGCATCGGCCTCCAAGGCGATGACATCCACGTAAGCCGAGGTCCTCAGTAGCTCGTCGCGCGCAGCGTGCTGGAGCTGCATGGCCAGAGCGGCGCGCACTGCACAATTGCTGGTCGATGGATCCACATATAGTCTCCGTGCTACTGCTTCAAAGTTCTTTGCGTCCAGGTATAGCATGTATAGCTTTTGTCACGTCAGTGAGGCTCGATTTTCATACATCCCGAGGACGTCACCCACCCAGGCATTTCGTATCCGGTGATCCAGTAATGAGGCATACACCTCAAAGCGCACATCCAATTGCTGCTCTTCCTCACAGTGGACCTGTTCAATGGCCCATTTTTGTAGTTTGTTCGAGGGAATTGGCCCAGTAGTAGCGGCTGGTAGCGCGGGAAGAAGGAAGGGAAGCGCGCCGGTTGGAGAAGCGTGGTTGTTTGAAGGGACGATTTCTAGGTCAATTCCCACAAATCTCAAGTATGCCTATACTCAGAGAAACCCAGTCAGCGATCGATTATGAGGAGGAGTTTGACCTTCGTCGATCTAACCTGCCACTTGAGACATTGCGGGTTGAACGACGGCCTCCCTCGTCTGGCGCTCGCGGGATCTGTGAAGACAAACAAACGGTTGCCGCGTCGGGCTATCCCGGAATGATGAGGAAGGTCATTTGAAGGATAGGTGACAAGAGGGAATCGGTCGAAGATGCGCTTAATCGGTGCAGGAACGGAGAAGAAATCCCGAGCGCGAGAAGATGGCGTATCCTCCGGAGCCTGGCCGGAGGTGCCACGGTTGTCTGGGGTCATGATGGATGACGGAGGATGGGAGAGGCTCAACTTGGGTTGTAATGTGGTATAAACCCTGTATGACAATGTCCGTGGATGTTAAAAGAAGTATCTCACGTCAGACCAGTATAAGGATACCTAAACAATAGCTAAGAAACGCCCGGGGCGGGAATGGATGGTTCCTGAAGCTAGTCGCAGCTCGATTGGCAACGCATCCACTTGTTCCCAGCATTTTTTGATAAACTCCGCGAGAATACCTCAGGCATCCAGGGACAGATGCCTGGTTACCCGGGTAGATGCCTGAGGCTCAAATCGCATCACGTTCCCCACAGTCATGTCATCAAGAGCCCAAAACCCTCCATTATGATTGGATCTTTGCTTCTTTGTCAAAGTTCCGACTCTCCAGGGGAAAATCATTTACTGCCACTATCTAGGACTATCTCCCGTCGCTGCTCCCCGCATGATCAAGCGCTTACAAGGGTGCGGTCTGGCTGTTCGATTCTGCGTCCTTGGATTGCTATCTGCTCCTTGGATTCCTCACCGACAGATAATCGCAGAGAGCCGACAAATCAACTCCCTGCCCTGTCTTGTCTTATTTTCTGGTCGAGCAACCGGATCCTTCCGTACTCCTAAGTGTCTGATCATTGTGATGTTTCTCTTTCTCATTCCCTAGAACGGACCTCGGAAATTGTGCTTTTGATCGAAAGGTTTTGATTTGTATCATTCTACTTATTTTCTAGCCGCCCTTACCTCCCCGCTTGGTACTTGATCAGAGCTTTGACGCGCTAGTCGTTTGCCAAAGTGGGGTAAAAACTTGCGGACGCTTTCAGAGTCAATTGATCCAACCGAGGAACATATCTGTCGTTCAGCCCATATTTCAAGGGGTTGACAGTCAATATATGGTCCAGGCTGGGTTGAGATTAACCAACTGCAACCATGCCTCTTGATGAAGAGGGAGCCAAATGGTCATGGTAAGGCCTGACTCTTCAGCTCAGTGTTGGGATGTGCTCCGGTGTTGCTAAGCCTGTCTATGCAGTAAACCATGTATTCGTGGCCATCGCTCGTCGAAATGCCAGCATTTCGACAGACTGATGATCAAAGTCCCAAAGGCTGGGCGTCCGCTTGCCAAATGTCCCCATCCCAAAGGCAAGTGTAGCTGTCAGCGGGAGTGCGCCTTTATGATTGCTATACCCAAAGGTTAGTATGACTAGGAGGAGAGAACCTCCTACCGCACCATTTTTTGCCTTCGGGACTCTGGAGGCTGACAGTATCCAGGATCTACCTGTCTATGTAGGCCAGTATATCAGGTGCCTGCCAGCATGGGGGAACATGTTCCGGCTCAAAATCCACTCTCCGTCCCCCCCATGACTCCGCAACTACCGCCCACAGGTGATAGCCAGCAGTGCGAGAGAAGGGCCGGTACTTTCCAACCGCCTGGGAATTTCGCCAGTGGTTTCACCACTATTTCTGGATTTGAGAACAGGCACGGCGAGAATGGAGTCTTTAGCCGTCTGCCGCCCTATTCACCATACGACGCAGGGCTCGGTATTGCTAGCAGTTCGAGCGGCGCTACAAACGCGGAATTTATCACTCCACCTACTTTTATGGCTCAGCAGGCATTCGATAACGTCCCGAGCTCAGGATCCCAAAAGAGTAGCTGCTGTTCTGCAAAGACGCCAGCAACCGTCCCCGCATCGACTCAGAGTTCTTGTTGCCGAAAGAATGACTCGCCTATGGATTCGCAGACTGCATCATACCAGCCCTATCCGGATGGCGCGATGTATCCACCAACTTCGACTCCACAAAACTCATCCTGGCAGCATTTCTATACAGCTGGCCAGAATAACTACTCGTCGCATTACCCTTTACAGAATCAGGCACTCGGACAGCCTGCGGTCATGCCGAACTACATACCTCAACCGACACTAGACTACTCAAAGCCGAGTTTCTCGCAGCATAATGTCGCCAACGGTAATGGGTTCTTCCACGGCACCTTATCACAGCCCACGTCGGGTCAGACACAAACTCTTGGTTCCCCAAATACAACTTTCAGCGGAGAGCGGAAGCATGACTGCAACTGTGGGGACAGTTGTCAGTGTCTAGGATGCGCCACCCATCCCTTTAATAACACTACCAGACAGCACGTCCAAGAGATGGGTCTCTTAGTCACGCTTGATGGTGAGGAATCGAGTTTCGAGCGTTTGAATGGCTACCGCAATTTGCAATCAAATGGCAACCCTGATGCCACTCCGTTTAACTACGACTTGACCAATTTCAGCCACTTCGGCCACGAAAACCACTCGGAGGCCATACACAACACGGACAACAACAGTCCAAATGGCAGCTCGCCTTCTACAGAGTACCCCTCAGAGCAACATCTGATGGTACCCTCCGAATATTACACCATCGAATATCCTGTGCAACTCCCCAGTGCTTGCTCGGATGTGACTGGTAGTTGCCTCTGCGGCAACGATTGTGCCTGCGTTGGCTGTCTCACACATAGTGGTCACAATGGCCTTGCAGTCGAGTCCTCAACGATCGAGAACAACGATTTGTCTCCATCGAGTCCTTCTGCAAAGCATGAGAGCGTCGGCTCCCCGCTCGTACCTGGGCACACACATGCCACCGTTCAATCACCGAACCCAATGCTCTAGAGATTTAGCGATTGATGGTGCCTTTTGCTGCACATCGCTAAATAGAATGTTTTGCCCCATTTCTCCTTTGATGCCGAACCTGGCGTTCGAAACTTACGACCCCGATACCCACCTAATAGATGCTGGATCTTAGAGCTCCTCATTCTGCTTCCTTTCTTCTGTGCATAGTTCTTTCGGACTACGTCCATGCCTACTCTGAATTCTTCGTTTTCGAAAGGTCTCCCCTCTTTTTGGACGTACATTCCCGGTGTTGTGGTTGCTCAATTTCTCATTCGGGGTTCGTGCCTTGAGCGCGTGGACGCTGCAAGAATGGGGTTCTCTCTTGTCTTCTTTGCGCCTGGATCGATAGATGCGTTAGAGTAGCCTAAAGGCAAAGAACGCAGACAGTCTACTGCTTAGTATCTCAGAGCATATGCAAGCTACCGAGGCGAAGACACTGCCATTCCTCCAAGGATTCGGCTTGTGCTCTTCTGGCAAACATAGGCGTAACATGCTTGAACGAGTCGACAAGCGACATTGAAGAGGGAGTAGAATGACAGATATAATGCATGCTGAAAGGTAAATGAAGCCTAGAACATCTCTAAACTACTTGAAAAGCGCCTCAACCGAACTTGTTTTCAACACCTATGCAGGTATCGTACATGATAAAATGCTAAACCAATCTCTATTTACGCAGCGCATCTCTAACGGGAGAATCACCCCGACGGAAGGAAGCTAGAACCGTGTCAGCCGCCGTACTCATTGTCTGTATTGATAATCAATGGCCTTGCACATACCGTCGGCTTCTTCCCAGGCACGACCAGCTCCGAAACCCAGACCAACCCACGCGGGCCAAGCTCTCCGCTTGAAGAGAAGGACTGAAAAGACAACACCGAAGGAGAGACCGAGGGAGGAACGAATGATCATGGAAGAGATGGCGCGATCCCACTGTAAACAACGTAACGTCATATTAGCCATTGGAAGCAGAAATTGTATGCAATTCGGGCTTGGATCCGAATCGGAGACTTGTTATAATCGACTCCTTGCGGTCGGAGACAGGCTGCGACAAGGACAGAAAGGATGTCATGAAAGCGTGATAGTACCTTCTCGTTCAGCAATGCCTCGCTAACGGGCTTGGTGGACCGGAGAACGGGCTGGGATTCATTGGAGTCGGCCATTGCGGAAGATCTAGAAGTTGGCCCATTAGTATAATGGCAATAAAGAGCAGGGGCGGGTTCGCAACCGACATTCAGCAATAGACTTGTGCAAATGTCACGCGAGGAATTGATAACCAAAATAAGGAGATGATGAAACGAGTCGGAGAGCGACGTCGATCGAGCTTCGGCGGGCAAAGGCGGTCGGAAAAAATAGGCTTGGGCGGGTTTTCTGTCGTCAGTCAGTTTGGGTCCGCCGTCTTAAAAGGTATCACAACTTTTTTTCCCTTTGAGCTATCTGATAACGAAGCAAAGAACACCCTACTTTCTTCCTTTCTTTTGATTTGGGAGAGAGAGCCGGGGAGTTCTGTCTGCGTAGATCTTGGACGAGATGCCTTCAGTCGCGGAGGTTAGTATTTTCAGACTTCTGCGGAATGCGTATGCTGATCTTGCTTTGCTATATACAGCGCCCGCGCTCGTCGCAAGAAACTCTACTGCGGCTCGAAAAAGGCACCGCTTCACCTTTGGCACAGATCAACGACGCTGCTCAGATTATCGGACTTGATCTAAGCTTGTGTGCGACACATCCGGAACTCAATCGAACCGGACAAATTCAGACCAATGCCGCCCCGAAAGAAGAATGGGTTCTCCGGTGGTTGTTGAAGAAGCTGAGGGCAGGGAAAAGCCATCGTGTCGAACCGGCCTCATTTCTGCTTCTGCGACAGTTGATCGATCTGATCCCTCCAAAGACCTTGGCCACCATACTCAAAGACCAGAAGTTTCTAGCGACATTAAGCGACGTGATTACAGATCTGGAGGAAGATATTTTCGCAACTCTTGAGAATGGAAAGGCTGATGATCTGCGCTTTGGTTCGGAGTCGAGCGATACGTTGGGCGATTCACCACTTGACGACAAGAAGGGAACTAAGAGGAAGAGAGCCGATGCCGACGACCAAGATGCTATGGATATCGACCAGCAGCCGCAGACATCCTCCTCCTGCTTCCTCTCCTTTATTCGCGTTTTGGATTGTCTTTATAGCTTGGTTACGTTGACGAGTCGGGCAGCGGGTGTCGATGAAGTCGCCAGCTCGCACTTGAAGCATGCCCTCCGCGGCGAACCAGAGTCGGTCGCGAAACTGCTGGGTCAATCGTTCAAGCTCACTACCATAGTCTCCAAACAGCTCTTCGACGGACGAAAGACGACCGACTTGCAACATCTCCTCTACATCATCCCGGCCGTGTTGGAGTTGTGGGAATTGAGATCTTCCCGCCGGGACGATTCGGACGCCGGGTCAAGTCATGAATCCTTTGCAAAGTATTGCTTCCAGAATGCACTCAGGCTTCAGGTCTGTGTACGCTCCATCAAACTTGATACGGACGAGAGGGCTCAGGTCTTACACGGTGTTGAGCGTTTGATTGCCCTCCATGTCGTCCTACCGGCTCGTACAGCGTTCTTCGACCGAGGTGGTGCGGGCATAGACTACTCAAGTGACGAGCCGGACTGGAGTTCCGTCAAACCGGTGTCCGAGACGTTCAAGCCTATTCTCTGTGCGACTGATTCTTCAAAGACCATCAAGCAGGAGAAGAAGCTCTGGAAAACTGCTGAGCTGCTCCCTGAGTTCCTCGATATCGCTGCCCGCTCCGTTCCCAGAGACACCTTTCGCCGGCAGACACACGAGGCTCCCTGGTTGGAGACCCTCTTTGTTGCGGTTGCGGAGCTGGCGTTCTCGATTGTCAAACAGGAGAGTTTGGGTCCATCGGCCGCCTACGTCTCCGAGTTTGTTATCATTCTGGAACAGCTCTTTCGTATTGTTCTAAACCGGAACGTGCAGCTCTCTCTACACACGCTTCTCACCCATGCCGCATACACGGGACTACTCAAGGAGGGTCTGTCCCCAGTTGAATGGGGCTTGACGGCCTTGTTGATTGAACTGGGAGCGGATATTTTCTTACCGAATTCTGGCCTCAAGGATTCAGCCAAGTTGCTGAGGGCTCTACTTGAGAAGATACTTCTTCATTGGCGCAGTGGCGTGCACCGCACAGATAGCAATTACGATACCATTAAGAACGGAATAGTGATCCCCTTGCTGCGCGCGTTCCTTACTGCAAGAGATCTTCCGACTTTCATGCAACTATGGTACGAGCAGTTGATCGACGTCGAAGAGGCGCGTCTCGCGGATAGCAGCTTGAGCCTCTTCTCTATTTGGGAGGACGATGATTTGTGTAACGTTTATAGCGATATCTTGCGGAGTCCCCTCACACACGCCACTGCTGATGCGCAGATGCGAGCAGCTGCAGTGGAAATAAGAGGCGAGGACGGGAAGATTTCGTCTGCACCTGGCGCTTTTGCTCAATTCGTCCTCTTAGAAGCTGGTCTCAGGAACCGAGCCCTCGGTGCTGCGGGCGCGAGAGAAGAGTTGAACTCTATTCTTGACACCCTGACGGCGACGCTGTCCTCAAAGCAGAGTTTCCACTGGCGTTGGCGTTTGTGGCGACTGGCTCGCAATTTACTCGCGAATAATGTGCAATCAGCGGAAGATCCGCTCATGGTCGCGACTTTGAATCTAACCGATGCGGCGGTGAGTTCAGTCCAGCGTAACCATAAAAACCGAATGAAGAATACATGCGCTGCATTGGAATCGTTCGAAGCGTATCAATTCGCGCTGGCCGCTGTCAAGGAAACAACCGACACAGGTCGTTTGGAGAGCTTCCACGTCCTAACAGGCGAGGTCAAGGACTATATCGGCACAATCACCAAGCAAGATACTTTGGGATCCCTAACTTCGCCTTGGAACGGTCGGGTTGAAACACTGGATTCATCAGTGTCTCTTGCCTTGGGCTACTTCCTTACGCTCGTCAGAAGCCCTGATATTTGGCCTCAGCTGAAGACTGACGATAGGCGTGCTCTTTTCGAGAGCATTCTCGGCCTAGCAGCGTCACAATTTCGATTGCCCTCTGCGAGCTTGCAGACTTCCCCGCCAAATGCAAGATTTGTCCAGGCATGGGCCTCAGTCGTTTGCCATGAATACCTACTCAACTCGCCGGCAATCGCTGTGGATCTCGTTCATGTACTTTCCAAGCAGTTGAAAGAGGATAAGGAGTATCGCAAGCTCTATATCGAAAGCCTCCAAAGAGTGCCTGGACCATTGATCATGCGGCGCCAGAGAGGTGTGCTATTGGATCTGCTTCAGGAAATTCTTGTCCAGGAGGATAACATGGCGGAGATCAAGCTCGGACTCTTGTCGTTGATGGCCAAGCTGGCCGATATGCCCAAGACCGCAGCGACTTTCACGAGTGATTGGGAGCCAATGTTCACCACTGCCAAAGCTGTTACGTTGCAGGGGACTGAAAACGATCTACAGGTTATGAAAGCGTTCCGCAATCTACATCGAGCAGTGATATCCAAGCTGCTTGTTCTATCGGAGGAAGATCGTGATAAGCTGTTCAAAAAGATGTATCGCAAGGTTTCAGCCAAAGTCCTGAAGTTGAAATCTCTTGACCGCAACTCAATGGAGTGCTTCTTCTTCAGAATCTCACTATCGCAATTCTGGCTCCATCAGGAACAGCTTTCTGGCGCATTTGTTGAACAGGAGCTCGACTCCTGCCGCCAGCATATGTTTGACTTGATTGTGGCTGAAGTTCGGTCTGTCAAGGATCAGTTGAAGAAGAAAATTGAGAAAACCGTTACGTTGATCAAGATGCTTGATGCCCTGGAGGACTTTGAGGACCTGGTGGCGGATAGCATAGAGGCTGAGAAATTCTTGACAAAGATCGAGAGCTACGTCGAAAGGTCTATGGACTCGCGCTCTTCGTTGCGGAGGCTCATAAGACGCCGTGTCTTTACTGGTCGACGATCGGACAGAAGCA